GGAAATCAGGAACTCCGTCGCACACCTGCGCCGCTCAAATAGCGAGCTTAGAGCGTTCATAGACCAGTCTTGCGAGAGTGAGAGCGATAAGCGAGAGCTGGAAGGGTACATCGCAGAAAACGAGGGCGTCATCACTACTATGAATGACCGACTTGGACTCCTGAAGACCGAGATTGAGAATCGAGGCGAACGATGGATTGAAGAGGAAGTCGCGGCGGATACTAAAGTGGATGGAGATGAAGTATCCGCGTCTCCATCATCACAGCCTGTCGTCAATGGTACTGCGGGGGATGAACGGCCTCAAGCACATCAGGACGCGACGAGAAGGCCGGAAGATACGCAGGCCAACGAGGAAGAAGGCGTCTATCTGTGAGACACCAATGCTGCTGGTTGGCTTTCCTATCAGGAAATTGACTTTGGAGGATTCATTCTTCTGTGCGCTTTCTGAAATGATATGGCGCCTGTGGAAGACGCTCCACCCAACTGCATCATAGTTACTGATCTGGATGGGCAATCTCAGTCGCTAGGCACTGAGTTGCTTTCACCAACTCCTTGAGTGAGAAACGCACACCACCTAGAGGGTCACCGAGTGAATTCCGGCTGCGGTTGTCCTTCTATCGCCACATAGACTGACTCGGGTTGTGCTCGCTCTCGGGTCATGTCGCTCTTTGCATGGCTCCTTGCGCAATCTCACCGTCTGCCAGAACTGAACGACAGATATCCCATGTTGAACCGCGGTATTGAGTACATCAGCCAAACTAAAAATGCATATGTTGATCGATTCATTGTCTCTTCTGATTCTCTCAGCTTAATGTTAAAATCTATGCACATCACGATGATCCCCAGAAGCAAATATCACAAGACAATGCTACCCAGCAGTAAAGTATTGCGACGGAAGTATGCAGAGGAGAGGTTGAGATGCGAAATGATGTGGTATTCCAGCCAAACAGGCATTGTTGACAGCAGATGTACCAGGAATCCAGACGGACGAAAACGGACTTCGAAGGAATCTACACGGACGGGAAAATGCTCAAAGAAAAGACAACGGTCATAGCACCTGCTAGTACGGGTACCCGGAATAGGAAAAGCGAATCATCCAAGATCTTTATGCATGACCGTATGATGAAATACCAGTTCCAACACAGGTCAGCGGACAACCGCTTAATGGTCGCTCTAAGTCAGAAAAGACATCCTCTAGCTCAGCTAGAGCTTGGCTGACCCCAGTGACCTCCCGCAAGCGCCTCCTGGGGGATACGCTGCTGTTTGATGAACAAGTCAATCAGGGGCTGCATAGGCTCCATCTCCTTGTCGGAAACCAGCTTATAGTATTTGGCGACGGTCACGAAATGGACGAAGCACATGTTCAAGATGTCATGTTTGTTGATGTGCCAAAACGGATTCAACCAGTGTGCGTGGTACAGATGAGCATAGCAACGGAACATCTGTTTCATGATGCCTTGACAGTCCTTATAGAAAGTCTGAGGAAAGCCGCTGGACTTGCCAATCCACTCCTCGCCGGTAGAATTCGCGTCGGCACTACCGGGATTGGCATTTGTAGCTTCATGCAGTGCAAAGGTGTCAGGTGTGCTGGTGACCTTCTCGGTGGGGAACATGACCGGGTCATGGATCTTGCTGACAATCCACTTTTCAACGCGGTTGATGAACTTGGGAGCGGAGATCTTGGCGGCACGCCCGTCTACAAGCCAAGTATATGTCAAGCTATTGGCGAATTCAGTTAGAGGCGGCATGAATTTGGCCATGTTGGAGGGAGTTTCAGGTCACTTACCGACCCGCAGACATAGTTGGACAGGTGCTTTCATTGCAGATAGGCAAACCAGTGACACCATTGACCTCCTGAATCACCTGGAGCATTCCGTGGAGCAAGCGGTATTGTTCAACAACTGTATGGGATCGGACTATCAGCACCGAGGACCTGACCACACGGGGATGTACAAGAATCGCTTACTTTGATGAGCCAGCCATTCTCCAAGCTCCACGTTCTTCGGACAAGCACACAGGGTCAGGAAGTTACCCTTTACATTCAAAGGGGCATACTTCTCCTGGAAAAAGTACTTGGGGGCGTCAGGGTCGTAAGGTGCGGGGCTGTCCACGCTCGGCGGAAACGATGGGGAGTTGGGCCCAGGAGCCACTTGAACAGATTGAGAGGCCGGGGACTGAGCAGAATTTCCGTTGTTCATCTTCGGAGCGTTGTTATTATTCTTGTTATTACCACCTCTGCCAAATCCTTGGCGTCTATAGGAATATGCGAGTTAGCAAGTCAATTCACAACTCTGGGACTGTATGAGCTGGGAGAAGGAGGTCGAGTGAGGAGTCCTTAAAAGGGGTAGTACGAGAAGCGCAAAGGAAAAAAGGATGAGGGAAGAAATCATGCAGGCTGAGGTGCAGGAAAGTTTTCTTTCTGCATCTGCAGCGCCGAGTCTGATCATTCTGCTGCCATATTGGGAATTCAGGGGACGGTGTGAAGGGGGTCTACAGGAACAAATCCAACCTAAAAGAGAGCCGCGCAGCACACTTACACACTCTGAAAAAAAGTCGCCATTGTTGTTGAGGGGTCCCAGATAGCCAGCTAGACCAGACACCTAAAGTAAAGAGTTTGAGAAGAACAGGAACAGGAACAGTACAAAGAAGAAAGAGAGTAATACTGACTGCACTCCTAAGATTCTCCAGTTGTTGATCTCCTCTATCGGTCTGGCCCTGTGGAGCTATTCCCGCCACTAAACCCTGTTGGGTCCGGAACGGATTAAGATGTTCCTGGAGACAATCAATACTCCATAGCTCAATCTCGATGGCTGTTCCTCCGACGAAGGCTTCGCAACAGGTGCTACTTTGGCAGTTCACTTCGATTGCGTGCGCGGAATCTATTTCTCTATTCATATTTGCGATTCAGTCTTTGGGAACAAATTAACCTGAATTTGCACTGGTGAATTCGCCGTTTGCGCGTCGGCCATAGGCGTTAATCTCTGTTACCCCAGAAGGGCCAGAGCACATTCAGAAAAAACACACCATGTCTTCTTCCGATGAAGATGTGGTACGCCGGCCAGGAAGAACCACGGCTGGTGACCGAGCCGAAAGCCCTGTCGGTAGCGAACACAGCAACACTCCCTCTGCGCGCGATCCCAGTCCCTTCGGATCTGATGCGGGAAACATGAATGGGGACGACGACGCTGACCTGTTTGGATCTGACGGGTCGGAAGGGGGTTTTGGCAATGAGGAGAAGTATGAAAGGCTTTTACAATGCTCTTCAGTATATAAGACATACTGACCGCTTGTCAGTCGACAGAGAACACTCGACGACGAGGAGTTAGATTCGGGAGACGACATTGATCGCTACGACAGAGCCGGAGATCGCATGGATGAGGATGGCGTGGAAGGGGATTACCAGGAAACTGTGAACATCATGGACCTGAGTTTAGGCCGGGCGCCTGAGCCAGTGACTTCAAAAGGCGAGGTACGTGGAGTAGGGCCGAAGGAGAACATGCCGTCCTGTTGGCTCACTCTATACACGCAGGTCTATACAATGCCAGTGCCAAATTTCTTGTCGATAGAGACAGAGGAATTCGACCCGGAAACTTACGTCGCGCCTCCATTCACTACTGCGGCGACCTCCCTGTGCTGGCGGCATGACCCGAACGACGAATCTCTCTTGCAATCAAACGCTAGAATTATCCGGTGGGAAGACGGGTCTTTAACACTCCAGCTTGCCTCGGCACCCAAGGAGCAGTACAGAATATCCACCAAGCCCTTGGCACCTACAAACAAGGCAGGCGAATACGATACAAAACTGGATTCCCATGTCTACTTGGGAGCAGCAGCAGAGACCTCGTCGGTTTTCCGACTGACCTCACATCTAACCCATGGCCTCACTGTTCTTCCTACGACCGTGGAGACTGACGATGCGGTGCAGCGTCTGCAAGAATCTCTGGCTGCGGCTGCGCGAGGTAGCAAGAAGACAGCGGATGGATCGGCGCCAGTTATCGAGGTTAAGGAGGACCCTGAACTGGCCAAGCGACAGGCCGAAATGGCGGAGCGGGAGAAACTCAAGGCTGCACGTCGCCGTCAGCAGCTCGCAGAGCGTGAACTGGACCGTGGCCGTCGTGTCGGCTTCTCCCACCGCTCAGGTGGTGCTGGTCTGACCGTAGGTGGTCTAGAAGATGACGACGGCCTTCTCGCTACGCGACCCCGCGCTCGCAAGCCTCGCAAACCCAACCGTCGTGGTGAAATTTATACCGATGACGAAGAAGATTACGATCGTCGCGGACGCACGAGGGAAGATGAGTACGACGAAGACGATGGCTTCCTTGTCGGCAGTGACGAAGAGCCTGAGATTGTTGAAGATGATGAGGACGAGGAGATCCTCGAGGATGACGAGATGGATGCAGAAGGCGAAGAGGAGGAGGATGTCCCTGCCCAGAGACCTGCCAAAGAAAAGCGGCCGTCACCAGAGCGACCTGTCTCGGAAACAGGAGCATCCGGAACGCCACCGGTGAGGAAGAAGAATCGCTACATCGTTGATGATGACGATGAGGACGAATAATCTTCCATCCTAGGCCGTTCGCACGCCCTCGAATGGTCCTTGGCCTCGTGACCACGCGCTCCTAATTAATGACCCTGCATCCTGTAACAACTTTCTCGGAGTCAATGAAATTGTATTTAGTAACGAGAAAATTAGAGGCCACGATGAAGATCAATCGTCCATTGCCGCCCGAGTATACAAAGATCTCCGCCGCTCTACGTAGGTTCTTACCCGACTAAAAGCTTTATCGAAATCATGTATTGCTCCACTGCAAATACCAGGAGCGCGAGTCAGGCATTGGCAAGAGTGGTATCGATCGATTCGGCCCATAAGGTAGCAAATAGAAGTGGTATCTGGCACAGTATGTCGTCGCGCCAAGGACAAATCACCGCAAGCCTTTAACTCCCCAGCATAAATTATTCCCTAATCCCATGACATCAATCACGTAGGTAAACAAATAGATCGCTCATACCGGAACCGCACCCTCCGGGTATTCGTGCGGTGCAAATTCAAACTTGGCTATAACATCTCTGGCGCTTCGGATTACACGAAAACAAAGCATATCCTCTTCCCGATGGTCCTCATGGGAGACAGGTGAACAAGATCCGGGTTCATTTGGGGATTCCACAGTTCGGGATCGATGCCATCTATGCTGGCGGGCTTCCATTTCCTCAATGAGAGAAAGTAATGTTGGCGAATCCGAGCACCTCACCTGACCAGCAGGATCTACCGGGCCGCCTGTAATAGCGCTTCTGACAGTTTGTCGAAGCCAGTCCTTCCAAGCCTCTGCGGGGTTTGGGGAGTTCTGCGTCACTGAAGCCACATAAGCTGGCGGCGCGGCTAACTTGCCCAGTTCTTCAGCGTCAGCTTGCGACACTCGCAGCCAGGCATCCGCAACGACGTTCAAGAGGGTTCCAGTAAACATGACATTCTGCATCCCCAGAGCAAAGCTTGTGGGACAGACATCACAACGAATGACAGCCCGCGCTGTTTTGGCAGCAATAAATAAGGAACACAACGTGTGTTGAGATATTGGAAAGGGAGCAAGGGAAGAAAGATGACTGAGACATAGATACAAGTATGATAAGCAGGTACACTGAGAACTGTTACCACCGTCCGAGCTGGGGGTTGATACGCTAGGGGAATCAATGAGCGTCAAGCTCGACGGTAATATGAACGGAGAAGACGTTGCGGCCGTTACGCTGGAGAAATCAGGCCAAGGACCGGTAGTCGCAGGGATAGGGTCCAGCGATCGACCGGCTTCCAACTGCCATAGGTGATTGTGACTATCGTCAGTAGATAATAGGTTAGGAAAGGCCTGTGGCATTCGCATTGGTGCGGTGTACACTGGAGGACAAAGTCGTAGGGCATCTGATGCCGCTGTAGCTTCGGCCCCGGCTTCCTCAGTCAAAATCCCACCATCATCTATATCAGTCCACATCCCATTGTCTGAGATTTCATATACGGATGCATCATTGTCTTCACGGGGTCGCTTTTTCGGTGGGCGTCCCATCGGCTTCTGTAATGAATAGTGGCAAGGAAGGGACTGCTTAACACAACGACTACAGCCCGTAGCTTCACCAGAGCATTTCAACTTCCGTTTCCCTATTGAAGCTTGTCAGGCCTCGGTGTTCACTTGAGAACGATCCTGCATCGAGGAGTACCTACTGCACTCGTCACACGCCGCATGCCTTTTCAAAGGCGGCACCGAGGCGGTGTCATGACTACTGCTAGGACGGAGAGGTAAACTATCGAACTGCATGCCGAATGATGGATGGAGATTTTACAACACAGTTTTGGATGAGCTCAAGATTGGTCGTTGGCAATAACCATAGTGCTGGAGACGTGGAGCAATAAATAACAGAAGAATGATGACAGCGGGGTCCTATTGATATTATCCATGGAAGATCAGCGAAATGCGATAAGATGGTGAGGCTACCAAGGCGGTGTATCACGTGGGCGGTCAGAAATCTCATTTTCGGGGAAAAGCAAGAAAAACAGAAAGAGAAAAAAAGTCCGCTTGAAAATTGCAGCTTATCGTTCAAATCTTTCCTGTCGGAGGAACGTAGCCGCTTTTCGCCAATATGAATGGTTCAAAAGCTTCCAAGAAGCGCAAAGCAGTTACCCGTGATGTGGAGGGGGAGGCAGGCGTGTTTTCTGGAGACGAATTGAACACAGACAACCTTGACGGAGCGCTTTCGGATAACGCCAACGACCTGTCGAGTGACGAGGATGAGAGCGATTCTGAGGTCGAGTTGATCGATGACTTTAGTGATGAAGATGATGAAGAAGAAGAAGACGTACTCGACAGTGACGAGATTCCGTCGGATGGAGAGGATTTAGCCAAGAAAAAGTCAAACACCACGTCTGGTGAAGTTGGCGCTGCGATGGATGATGGTGAGAGCTCGAGCGAGGAGGAACAGTTGAACTATCGCGTTGAAAAGGATGCCAATGGGAATGACCGCTTCGTCTACGACGAGATCAATCCGGACGATAATTCTGAGTATTCTGATATCGACGAGAATGCAAACACTATCGGCGACATTCCTCTTTCATTTTACGATCAATATCCTCATATCGGTTACGACATCAACGGGAAGAAGATTCTGCGCCCCGCGAAAGGCGAAGCTTTAGACGCACTGCTCAATAGCATCGAGATACCCAAGGGTTGGACAGGTCTTACTGATCCTTCCACTGGCAAGCCTCTGGAGCTGAGCCAGGAGGAGCTGGAGCTGCTGCGCAAAGTTCAAATGAACGAAATTCCCGAAGATGGTTACAACCCATATGAGCCCACGGTTGAGTGGTTTACCAGTCAGCAGGAAATCATGCCATTGAGTGCTGCGCCAGAACCCAAACGGCGGTTTGTGCCCTCGAAACACGAAGCTAAGCGGGTTATGAAGATTGTGAAGGCGATCAGAGAAGGCCGGATCCTCCCGTTCAAGCCTCCCACGGAGGAGGACCAGGAGGATGATACGGTCATCAAGTACGATCTCTGGGCCGATGAAGCGGAGCGAAAAGATCATCCTATGCATATCCCTGCGCCTAAACTTCCACCTCCAGGCTATGAGGAAAGTTACCATCCGCCTCCAGAGTACTTGCCTAGTCAGAAGGAACGAAAGGCTTGGGAGGAAGCTGATCCCGAAGACCGGGACCGCGAGTTTCTCCCTAACGATTTCGCTTCTCTGCGCAGAGTTCCCGGCTATGAAAACTTTGTTAAGGAGAAGTTCGAGCGGTGCCTGGATCTTTACCTGGCCCCTAGAGTTCGTAGGAGCAAGTTGAACATCGACCCTGAAAGCCTTTTGCCCAAGCTTCCGAGCCCTGAAGAGTTGAAACCGTTCCCCACTGCTTGTGCTACTGTGTTCAGAGGGCATAAGGGTCGGGTACGCACACTGGCTGTTGATCCTTCCGGTCTGTGGCTGGCTACTGGTGGCGATGACGGAACTGTTCGTGTCTGGGAACTTCTTACGGGCCGCCAATTGTGGAGTGCCAAGCTGAGCGAGGAAGACCCTGTTAATGTTGTTCGTTGGAGACCGGGCAAGGATGCTCTTATCCTCGCTGCGGCGGCTGGCGACGACATTTTCCTTGCTGTTCCTCCAATTGTCGATCCAGCAATTGAAAAAGCTAGCCTGGACATTCTGGATGCGGGCTGGGGATATGCTGCATCTATCCCTCCTCCGACTCCTGCTGAAGCGAACAAGAAGAACAACCCTCCCAAGTGGATACGTCCTTCGTCGTCCCTTGCCGATTTGGGAGTCTGCGCTGTCATCCCTCTTCGCTACGTCGCCAAGTCCCTTTCGTGGCATCGCCGTGGTGACTACTTTGTTACGGTTTGCCCTGGCTCATCAACCCCAGCTTCCGTGGCCATTGCCATCCACACTCTTTCCAAGCATCTGACTCAGTACCCCTTCCGCCGGCGTATCAAGGGTGGTGGTCCTCCTCAGGCTGCTCACTTCCACCCCTCGAAACCAATCCTCTTTGTCGCAAACCAGCGAAGCATTCGCGCATACGATCTTTCACGTCAACTTCTCGTCAAGATTCTACAACCTGGTGCTCGCTGGATTTCTTCCTTCGACATCCACCCGACTTCCTCCACCGCTTCTGGTGGAGACAACCTTATTGTAGGCTCCTATGATCGCCGTCTCCTTTGGCATGATCTCGAGCTGTCGCAGCGGCCTTACAAGACGCTGCGGTACCACCGCAAGGCCATCCGTGCTGTCAAGTTCCACCCAGGCGGCCGCTACCCCCTGTTTGCAGATGCCAGTGACGACGGCTCGCTTCAAATTTTCCACGGCAGTGTTACCGGAGATATGCTCAGCAATGCCACCATTGTACCGCTCAAGGTTCTCAAGGGACACAAAATCACTGGCGAACTCGGTGTGTTGGACGTCGACTGGCATCCCAGAGAACCATGGTGTGTCAGTGCAGGCGCGGATGGAACTTGCCGCCTCTGGATGTAATTACATGTCGACTTCGAAGCGTACATATTGGGTTTTCCAACTGTTAATTTATCATGTCATGTCCACATGAGAGGCGTCTTGGTGTGCATCAATGTTTTTGTCAATAGATATATCCGCTTTATAAAAGTTATAAAACTGTTTTCCTCGAAGCTAGGTCCTCCTCATCTGATGATTCAAGCAACCTCCCAACTTCCCCATCCCGATTTGGATTGTTGGAGACATTACGTGGAAAATGAACCATTGGTAGACTCATGGATGGCAAAGTTCCAATCAAACGAGGAAATTTCCAGCATGCATGGGCAAAAAGCCTTTGGTATATGACCATTATCCCATAGGTATACAATGCTTTCGTTGACTTTGTACGCCACCCTAGTCGGATATCTACAACACGCCCCCGCTCCACTCCCTCCTGAGCTTCTCATACTTTTTGAGATCGGTAACACTGGGCCGAATGAAAGCCTTAGCGGCAACGAAATCCTCAAAGCTAATCTGATCACGTCTTTTGATCGCGGAGTATCCGGCACGGCGCAGCAAACTTCCCAGATCCGCACCGCTGAATCCTTCGCATTCTTCGGCGAGCCTCCTCATATCTTCGTTGAACTCGATAGGAAGTCTGCGAACAAGGGTCTGCAAAATCTCCACACGCTCCAACGGATTAGGCAGGCTGACGTAGAGAAGCGTTTCAAGACGACCTGGACGAAGCATGGCAGGGTCGATGATATCCGGTCTGTTAGTGGCGGCAATCACGTAGATACCTTGACGGCTGCTGCCGAGGCCGTCAAGCTCGGTGAGCAGGGTATTGACGACACGTGCAGAAGCTTCGGACAGAGCATCATCTCTACGGGGGACGAGGGCATCAAGTTCGTCGAAGAAAATAATGCAAGGGACTGACGAGCGGGCACGCACAAAGACCTGCCGTACTGCACGCTCCGACTCACCCACGAATTTGTTGAGCAGCTCAGGTCCCTTGACACTGATGAAGTTGGCGCGCGACTCGTTGGCCACAGCCTTGGCCAGTAATGTCTTACCACAGCCGGGAGGACCCCAAAGCAGGACACCTGTGGGCGCCGTAATACCCACGTTCGCATAGAGCTCGGGAGATTTGATTGCGTCCACGATCGCAGTATTGAGTTCTTCGCGAATCCCTCCCAAAGCACCAATGTCTGCCCATGTAGTGTCTGGTATAGTGGCGAAGCCCTCACGCTTGGAGGAAGGCTGGATTTTGGGAAGAGCGGTGAAAAAGTCTGCATTGGAGACAAAGACCGTCTGCGTCTCGTCACCAAGGGGAGTCTCCTTCGCGTGATTGATAAGCCGTCGCAGCTCTTTCACTTTAGGGCTCAGATCATCGAGATCTTCTATATCCATCTCTTCCCCACTATTCGATTTGAGTAGTTCCAGGTATCGTTTGATAGCTGCAGCGCCTGCCGTGGAGACTAAGTCGTTGAGATCAGCGCCGACAAAGCCCGGTGTCCGTTTGGCCAGAGTCTTGAAGTCTAGGTCGTCAGCGAGACGCATTTTTCGAGTAAGCGCCCTCAAGATCTGCTCTCTGACTGGTTCCGAGGGGACAGTCATGTTGATTTCCTTATCGAATCTACCACCGCGACGCAGGGCTGCGTCCAAACTATCCGGTCGATTGGTAGCTGCTAGAACAATCACGGGCTTGCCGTCGGTTTTGTCCAGTGCTAAATCGTCCATGCATGTTAAGAGCTGAGCAACAATGCGTTTCTCCATCTCTCTTTGTGCACTTTCTCGCTTCGGGGTGATGGCGTCAATTTCGTCAATGAAAATGAGGCAAGGCGCAAGCCTTCTGGCTTCTTCGAAATGCTCTCGTAGAGCCTTCTCGGACTCTCCCGACATTCCCGACACAATGGATGGGGCAGATATTGGGATGAATGGCACACCTAGTTCGGCTGCGAACGCATTGGCGATCATTGTTTTACCGCAACCTGGCGGACCATGCAATAGCACACCACGGGGTGGCTGAACGTTTGACGACACGAAAACTTGTGGACGGGTCATCGGGAGGATGAGGAGATCTCCCAAGCTCTGAATCACGTCGTCCAATCCACCCAGGTCCGCGAGGCTCACATGTGTCGGAGGCGAGCGATCAACGGGCACATCGGCCTTGCGTCGTTTGGACGATTGAGATTCACCTCCATGTTGTCGCCTCTTGGTCGGGACTGGGGCAGGCGTAGGCGCGCTTTCAGAAGCACTGGGCTCGGCTGACTTTTGCGGTTTCGAAGTTGTATTCCATGCGCCTACAATGCTCCGATTGAGGCTGTTGGATTCCTGTGATGGTCAGAATTGCAAGCATGGAGAGATGTTCATATGTCGCGTACTGGAACCGGTTGTGCTTGCTCCTCCAGACCCTCAAAGTCGCCATTCACAGAATCTTCTTCATCTTCGCCGAGCACGTCGCTTTTAACCACTTCCACGACCCTTTCAATACTGTCCTCTAATACCCTCTTCGGCTTCCTGTTCAGACTGGAATTTGATCGCTTGATGGTATCATAGATTGCGGGCACCGAGAGACGGATCCGACCGTTCTCTCCCTGATCATCGATGATCTTGCGCACAATCTGGTAAACCTAGAATAAAAGAAAGTCAGCTTATTATAGATATACGCCAACATGGCGAGCATTATCTTCGGTCTCTCCTCACCTCGCGATCCAGGCCTTGCCTCAGAGTCGACCTACCCCCACGGGATTGCCGCATCTTCTTCCAATGCAGGGGCTGTCTGCGCAAGAACAATCCCAGTCCAAAGCGTGACACTAATAGTGATGCCAATCTATTAGAAAATCCTCCGATTCTCTATATTTTTTGGGCCATCGGGGAAATAGATTTACCGTGGTCGGCTTTCTCCAAGTTAAAAATACCACGATCCCAGAAGACCGCTTATCTGATTGGACACCACTTCCCGAAATGAAATTCCATACGCACATGGTATTTTTCCTTACGCCGCACTGAGAGTTTTGAAGAGTGTACGTCATTTTCCAGTGTGTTTTGACTTTCTGGGGTAAGGAAGGCATCTGTACTTATCGCCGACTTATCTACACTCCAGATTGACATTGGCAGTATGCTGCGACAATGGGAAACACAAGCAGTTCTCATAAGATCTCTGCTCAGGATAGGTAGGTTTGCCGTTCTCTCATGCTTCAGGTACTCCTCATCTCTTATTGTGCAATCTGAGCACCCTATCACGGACCGCATGTGACGCCAGCAGCGATCGTATCCCCCGTCTGCTTGCCCTGCCCGGAACAGCCTGCAGAATGAATACTAACGAGAAAAATTGCTGGTATTAAGGGCCATTCTGGATCTGAAGAATCAGCGCGATAAGCTTCGTCAGTATCAAAAACGAATCACTGTCCTCACAGACCGCGAGACCGCCATAGCAAAGGAATGTCTTGCGCGAGATGACCGCCGACGTGCCCTGCTGGCTCTTCGTCGCAAGAAATATCAAGAGACACTCTTAAGTAAAACAGATGCGCAGCTGGAGCAGCTGGAGCAGCTGACGAGTCAGGTGGAATTTTCCTTGGTTCAGAAAGATGTTCTCTTTGGCTTGCAACAGGGAACAAAGGTGCTCCAAGCTATCAACAAGGAAATGGGAGGTATCGAAGCTGTCGAGAAGCTGATGGGCGAAACTGAAGAAGCCAGGGCATACCAAGAGGTAAAGCGACGGCGTCGTGAACGAGATAATCGTTGTGCTAACCACATGCCATTACAGGAAATTAGCCAGATGCTTGCGGGCCAGTTGTCGAACCAGGATGAGGACGAAGTTGAGAACGAGTTGGAGAGATTACGGCAAGAGACAGAAGCTATCACCTTACCAAAGGTCCCTACCGCTCCTCCAGTTATGGTCAAGGGCAAAGAAGCCGACAACGAGGAAGCGGAGATTTCAGCCGCCAGGATGAAGACGCGTACTGCAGTTCCTGCTTCCTGATGTATGCATTACATCTGCTTCTGCCGATCAAAGTATATATATATACGGCAGAGACTCAAGCATTTTCGGTCGCTGGTGGTTTTGTCCCTCTTTCGTTACTCACTTCTCTGGCGATAGTACTCCAGCCATGAAAGCTTAAAACTTGCATCGGCCATATTTCCGGTCAAATTGCGTTTACTATACACCAGACGCGAGTTTCATATCATTAGTCTCATTTGAAGTCATGTACATAATGGAGTTGAGCCGCGCCAAAAAGCAACGTGACAGGCATGGAAACACTTCTACCTTAGCTATCTATCGTCTCGTACGCCATATATCCCAGTCATGGAGCGAAGGACTCATTGACCAGGCATTACTCTCCCTCCTACTCCGCTGACACCCGGAATGGCTACATGATCGCTAGGGTTTGCAGCAGCTTCATAGAGGAAACTGACCGGTTCACGGTTCAGAGCCATAAACTGGCCTTTGAAACCAATATATCCAACTTTGGTCACATCCTCTTCTCCGCCGCTCCAGTTGTCTTCGAAGAACAAGGTGATCGAAGTCGTCGCATTCCAATGAGCACGGTTGAGGGGCAGCTCAAAGACGTCAGACCCAGGAACCGGCTGAGGGATCTCGATTGTTTGCGTGGGTGTCAAATCTGAGGCAGTTGCGAAATCTAGATCATTCCGGTTCTTAAAGAGCTTCAAGGTTTTGGGTGCAGATGGCGTGGGTGCGGTGTAGATGAGCAAGGAGTGCAGCTTGACTTGTCCAGTGAATCTGTAGTACCATAGACAGTCAGTATTACTCCATTCTTACAGCTTTTCTGGCAGGGCTGGCTTCTGTGGTACTGGTGCGTTTTGCGACAATTGAACATTGATAAGATGAGGGGCAATCGGCGGGATAAGCAAAAACATGAGAATGATCGGAGACTGCCAGCAGAGCTTCAAGTTGAAGGAATAGAGGACGAAACGTACGGGATGTACATTAAGAGCTGCTCATCCGCATCGCTTTCGAGTTCAGGCTCATCATTTAATCGGTCAGCCCATGTCTTCTGCACAATAGCCGTCCCTGATTTAGGTGTGGCTTCTGCGCTTTGCGTCAACGAGCATGTCCGCGAACGACCCTATAAAAAGCTACCTAGGCATACCGTTCAATGTAGTAATAGCATCAAATGCGATCTGTGAGTAAAGAAGGGACTGAATAGCAGGGGTGATATCGTTCGAGTGATCATGTCCATCCTCTCCATGGCAATGTCCGCCATGGTCATGATTGTGGTGGTGATGCCCTGACATTTTTGTCTCAAGACGAGAGCGGTATCAGAATGTTTTCTATTGTTAGCTTGTATTTGAGATAAGTAAACGAATGTTGATTCCAAAATTGAGAGTATTGCGTTGACCTTGGGAGAACGGCGGACCTTCTATGATTCCGGGGCGTAATGCTTGTCTCAACTTTGGAACATTTGCAGATCCCCACGAAATGGGAATACCTGAGATTATCTACATGTTCTCGCACCATCCATGCTATGTAGGCTATGTATAGAGATTATCCATCTACTGGGTATCGTCATAAGATATTCAAGATTTTCTCTTGCCACACTGCACGAATCGCAATATCACCCTGTCAACAAAATGCTCCATTATACACACCGTCTATCACGAAGCCCATGTTCAAACCGGTTGATTGAAACTATGTGGCAACGAAGCTTTGCACATTGCCTGCTAGCTTGCACTCTCGGGTAAGCACCCAATCTCGATGCTCCACAGAGGATTGTTTCACTGGATTTTGTAAAAATCCGGTGCATACTCGAGCAGGTAGCTCTTCTCGATCTTGGTGATGTCACGAATATATGTTTTCTCACCGGTTTGCAATATCTCATGGAAGATGACCCAATCTGCTTTACGGTTCTAAATATCAATCAGTCAGTAAATCGGAGACGTATGGTGGCAGAGGCTGACAATGGCAAGCACGTACAAACATTAAGGAAGTTGGATGCGCATGTAGGGTAAGCCCTCCGCTGACCGTTTTGAAAGTCCCATCGGGCTGCATCTTTGCAGCATGTGCGAAGTAGCCAGTCGTCAGACATCTTTGGATTTGCTCGGCCGGTCTGGCTAGATCAGCCGTTCCTTGGCGACCAGAGAGAGTCTCGTCCACTTGATACCCAAAGCGCTCAAGGTAGCGTTTTAATTGGGCTCTTATGCTAACAGCTCGTTGCATCGACCGATAATTTAAGAGATTATCCCGACACCATTTGGGGTCTTTCTTTCCTTTCGTGACAAACGCCTGGTACACATTGAGGTAGGCCAAGTGATCCCCTTCTTCAACGGCAAACCTTCTGCGGCTGCTCTCCGCCGACTTCTTATCACCTTCATGCTGCACCCACACAGAACCTTGGAGACTGATCATAGCAGCTATGGAAAGGATCTCACTCAAACAGTTGAAGGATCGAGCGCTGAGAAGGACTTTAGCCAACATGGGATCTAAGGCGAGTTCGGCCATTCGCATCCCCAATGGATTCGTAAGTTTGGCATAGTCATCCACTGCTCCAAGCGAGTAAAGAAGCTCAAAGGCACGTATCACCAAGTCTGCAGGAGGAGGTGTCAAGAAATCGAATCGTACTATATTGTCAATACCCAGGGCCTTGAGCTGCATGATCACAGGGGCCAGGTTCGATCGTTGGATTTCAGGAACGGTAGCGTCCGGTAATTTCTCATAGGCCTGCTGAGTGTACAAACGGAAGCACTTGCCTGGCTTCGTTCTACCAGCGCGACCTGCTCGCTGAACTGCGGCTGCTTTTGATATCGGGACAGCCGTCAATGTCTCTATGCCTGTGCTTGGATTATAGGCTCGGAGCTTGGCGAATCCGCAATCGACGACGTATACTATACCGTTAATAGTAACCGAGGCTTCTGCGATGTTGGTCGACACGATGACCTTGCGTGTGTTTTCAGGGGCTGGCTCGAAGACGTACATCTGCTGATCCGTTGTGAGGCCAGAATAAAGAGGAAGCGGTAGAAGAGCCGGTGTTTTGGGATGCAGAGTAGCAGCGCGTTCGGTTATCAATTGAATTGTGGTCTCGATCTCCTCTCGGCCAGTCAGGAAAACCAAAATATCACCGTCCCCTTCTTGCAAATGTATGTCAAATACAGTTTTGACGGCTCGTTCCACATAATCTTCTGCTGGGTTTTCGAGGTACAGAACGTCCACAGGATACATTCGTCCCTCAAGACTAATAATTTTCCCGATGCTTCCTCCCAGTTCGCCGACTTCTCCGTCGCCCTGGGATTCATCCCCGGCGAAAAATTTCAGAAAGTCTTCAGCCTGCAAAGTCGCACTACTAACCACGATCCGGATGTCTGGGCGTCTCTTCATGATCTTTTTGAGTATTCCAAGAAGAATATCGGTACTCAGTGATCGCTCATGTGCCTCATCGACCATAATTACCGAATAGCGAGATAGAAGGGGATCTACGAGAACCTCTCTGAGCAACATCCCATCAGTTAGGAACTTGATTCTTGTTGAAGCAGATGTCACATCTTCAAAACGAATCGAATATCCCACTTCTTCGCCTAATTTGCAGCGCATCTCCTCGGCCACTCGAGCTGCGACAGTAGTGGCAGCCACCCGACGCGGCTGTTAACCAGCTTAGCAATCCCATACTGACGTGCTGGGCCAAGATGGAGGGGATCAAACAATACCTGTGTGACAGCTATGGCCTTTCCATCTGCGCACCATCCCGCTTGATCTAGATACTGTGGCAGCTGCGTTGTTTTTCCGCTGCCAGTTTGTCCAACGACGATCGTGACAGGGTATGTTTCGACGAGATAAAGCAAGCTTAGGCGATGTCTTGCAATTGGTAGCAAAGCAGCCGGTTTGTATAGTGCTGGAATGAAGGTGGAAGAGATTTCCAATTCTGAAGCCATTGTTAATGCTGGTCTATCAACCACTTTCAGTAATGTAAAATCAACCGGTTAGAGCCTCGAGGTTTAGAAAGGAAACGCAATTGAGGCATATTGAAAGGGTGAAATAGGCCCCCGTTTATGCAGAGTGCTCAGGCCATGTATTTTCAAGCCCAGAAGGAAGTAAGCTGCAGATTTACTGTAAGTTATAGTAAATTTATGTTTTACTTCTTCTGAGGAGGTACTGCTTCCAGATATCTGAGGCTCAGAGACATGGATAGTACGTGGATTAGGTAAGGCGGGACTTCTGTATCACGTGCCACAAACGTCACTGTGGGTCAGAACCCAATCACAAGCGTCCGTTGTCTGGAGCTTTGGATAGGAGGTGGTCTTCCAATAATAACGGCGATGACCCTGAATTACTTTCTGCCTACAGATACCTTCATCTAATACTTTGTATTTCACTTTGGGACGGACGTCTCGCGCGACAGACTCTCATACTCTCTGCACAAGTGCACTCATTCGACCAACTGAAATTGATATCGTTCCGAGCCATGTCGGACGAGGACAAGATGGTAGGCTGTCATGTGCCCTTTGTGACAAGATTACAACTAACCTGTCCCAAGACTCCCAGCAAATCGGCAGCTGGCCCTAATAGTCCTAAACCGGAGTCGCCGACTACTGCGCGTCCCTTGGATTTCGATGATGAACCTCAAGAAACCGGTGTTACCACTGCCCCTCCCCAGCAAACTGGTACAGAAGCTGCCCCGCCAAAGCCACCCCGTCCAGTGAGCCCGCGGCAACAGGCAGAGACCACCCTCAAAGAAGCCTTTCCCACCATCGAAGCATCTGTCGTCAGGGCAGTTTTGGTAGCCAGCAACTGGGATGTCGAACGGGCTTTTCATGCTCTGCTTGGTATGTGAAGCTGAGCCTGTGCCGGTCTTGCGATCATTAACAGAATGCTTTCTTAGGCATGACCGACCCCAACGCTCAGCAAGAAGACATAGCGCCTCCAAAGCCTCCTCGTCCGTCTGCGGCGCAGAGGCAATTGGAAGCGGATGAGCTGTATGCCCGTCAACTAGCCGAACATTACAACCGTCGTGCGCCGCAAACCCGCTGGGATGAATCTCGACATGACAGGGCCAGAAGAGGAAGCGATCAGTCGGAGGAGCGGGAATATAGCTTTTTTGATGGTATGTAACGCTACTCGATATCGCCGGCCTTGGTTTATTGTTAACGCGCTTTGGTCTAGATGATCTTCCGGTAATCCGCGAGAACATTCGCAAGGGGTTCCTGGAGACTCAGTCCAAAGTGAACTCTTGGGTCCAGAATCTCAAAAAGCGTCTTGACGGTGAAGATGTCGATGAGGGACCATCTAACCAGCGCTATGGTGAAGGCCAAGGTTACAGTCGACCAAGAAGGAGTGGCGATATGGGTCGTCGCAGCGGTGACCGCGAACGTTATGATGCTGACCCTCAGCTGTTGAGCGACGACTTCTCTGCACTGGAACTGAGAGACTCTGAAGGTCTGTCCAGTTCTGTGAAACGTACTCTTCCTGCGACCATAGCTAATTTCACTGCAGCACCTCCACCACAACCACCCAGGAGACCACTTGCCAACCCAAATTTGTACAAATCAGCGTCTCCCTCACCTGACAGACGTAAGGTATCTTTCCAGGAGGGTCCGCCATCTGAGATTGGCAATCTTTATGATACTTCCGACCCGGCCAAACGCACGTCCACCGGAGGCAAGTCGAGCAAATGGCAGCCGCTGGCCACAGTGGAGCCATCGCCTGTCGCAGAGAATGATCCGTTCAGCCTGGGAGACAGCGAAGATGAGAGAGATACTAAGGGCAAAGAGCAGAATAACGCTGACGAAGCTGATCGTATCAAGAAGGCTACAGCAGAGGCGATGGCCGGTGAGCTTGGTTCTATAAAGGATAAGGATCAGACAGAGACTGCTGGAAAGTCATAGGAAGCGGCCAGCCTTTGAGCGCGTATCTTTCGCCAGCAGTTGTCGCCGTTGTCATCTGTTGCGTCTCCTCCTTTATCCTGTCTTTTTACCACCATTCTCTATTTGTGTTTATAGTCGATTCTATGATACCAGGGGTGCCATGACGCAGGCAGGGGAAATCGAAGTATTGAAAGCTTACAATTCGGAGCATTCGATATCAAATAGTAGTAGTGGTTATATTTCGGAAAGGGTATCTATCGTCCTGTCCCAACCCAGATGAAGAAACGTAAAGACTCGCACAAAATAGATAAGAATCAGGAAAGCCAGACCACCTTGACGCCACCAAGAACCATGATATGCCGGCTAGCTGAAAGCCGAGTGAAATAGCAAGATGCGTATCTTGCAAACAGCGAAGCACATAGAAGCAATTACTCAGGCATGGCGTGCTTATTCGTAAGAGCCCGCGAGGTTGCCGCAGCTTCCTTCCTAAGATCAGTTATAACAGTCTATACCCGGTCAATGGCACAGCATCGTGTTAGTCCTTGCCCATCAATCACGCCGAGGGGTGTCTTTTTCCAAGAAAAAAGAGGAATAAAAACTTACCGCCAGGGCATCAGGATTGACTCCATTTTCGATGAGAGACACACAGAGGGAGAGCTCTGTTCGGTCCAGATTCGTGTTCTAGAGGTTCACACCATGCGTCAGTTGCCGTCTCAACTCCTGCCAGACATCTTTGTCGAAAAAAGTGTACATAGCACAAAGCCATAACAGAGAATGGAGAGGTTGGAAGCACATACCAGGAGGGTTGAGATTTCGTGAAGAATGTCGATAACTTCGCGGGCGGCCTGGCGCTTGTCCTCAGCTTGCGGGGGCATTTCCAATGATGATTGATGCAACAGCCGATGTTTGCCTCGTGCAGCAGTTGGGAATCTGATGGCCTTGGTCTTGTATTTGAGAATGTAAACTAAACCGTACCCAATGTACCTAGGTATTTACCTACCACTCGTTGGACTGTTTATGAATGTACCTGATTGATCATCCGGTGGGGTCCTGTGCAGCTGGCGATGGATGAATCTGATTGGTCACTTCAGCTATCTCCATGATCTTTTCTTCTGCCTCAGGCTTGAATTCTTTTTCTGGGCGATAGTTCTTCAGTTGAAAGTCTGCTTGTTGCCAAAAGGTACCTTAAGTCTCCATTCTTCAGGGTGGCGTGTTTCCGATTACCTCCTTCATGCCGAATTATCCAGGAGAGTAGCACCCCTGAAACACTGTGGTCTTCTCGTCTTGCTGTCTCTTACAGCGCTGAATGTAGATCATCTGAGAAACTTTGCAGGATCCACGATGTCAGTCAATTTAACCATATCAGACATTCATGCTTTAGGCAAAGATCAGGCATTTGACATCCTCGCACAAATTGCACGGATTGAGAAAAAGACTTTTCCGGCTAACGAGGCATTCCCCTTTGGAGAGGACCTTTGGAAGAAGAAGCCTAACACCAGGGTCTTGTATGCGGTCAGCACAGCTTCCGGTGTACCGCATCGTTTAGTCGCCTATGCTGTCTATGTTCGGCAGAAAGGAGTAGCTTTACTGCACAAAGTCTGTGTTGTAGAGGCGTTTCGTCGGCAGGGCATCGGGATGCAGCTCATGAACTACATTCGGCAACGTCTCCAGAAGGAAGGCTGCCAATACATTCAATTATGGGTGGACAAGGCTAGGGAACCCGCTCGTTCATTGTACAATCGCAGTGGGTTTGACGAACGAGAAGAGATTGCCGACTACTACGCGCCAGGTCGTACTGGAATTCGGATGGTCCTTGACCTCGAACGCGGTTGAGACACCCTTGGATTTTTCGGGCTTCAACCTTTGAACCCCTGGAGCCTGTCTTGACCAAAAGCTGTTCCCTTGAGCTCCTTAAGATTCGACATAGATGCGACAATGTCTTTTCATTATCTCTCTTATTAGTTCCCCCTGGGTGCTCCAAGGGATAATCTTGAGACCTAGGGTTTGCCTTTCCTCCTTCGCTTCTGGGCGGTAGTATCAATTCATACCCCCTTGCAGGACCGCGCATATCACAACGTGATTTTTTTTAGTTCCGTTCGCGCGGATCGGAATTTGAACCAATTCTTCGCTTCCATACTTGAGTGACGTCAAAAATATTCAGGCAGGGATTCCTTGAAAGGGTGGCAGTTTTCGCGCCGCTCCTTTGTCAGATGGCTGGTCCTTGGGCGGAATCACCATGAAGAAGAGTGGGTAGCCTACGACGTCCTCCCATACTAGACGCCCTCGTTCGTTTCCTCGTCCGACACTCTTGTCCGAATCCAAGTGTCCGGTGTCTGGATGGTCTGACGGTTAACCCAAGCGAGCCTCCTCCTCTGTGACCCCCAGAACAGCATTTGAGGCTTTGACGAGCTATGGCACTCATCGCATTGGTCGTCCTGGCACTGCTGGTCGCGGTCAACGCAAGTCTAGTTTCAAACTACCCGGTAAATGCGCAATTACCACCTGTGGCTCGAGTCTCACGGCCTTTTCACTTCGTCTTCTCACCAGGGACTTTCAGCGGTACAGAAGCGGGGACACAATATTCCTTGCAAAGTGCACCTTCATGGCTTCACCTAGACAGTTCAAGCCGGACCTTGTCCGGTACTCCCACAAGTCTAGATACGGGACCGAACAAATTCAAACTCGTGGCCAACAATGGGCCAGACTCTGCAAGCATGGAAGTGACTCTGGTCGTCACGGCAGAGGATGGGCCGAATCCTGGAAAGCCACTGCTGCCACAACTTGAAGCCATTGGTGCTACATCAGCACCATCAACAATCTTCGTGCACTCCGGGGATTCGTTCGTGATCTCGTTTGATCATGATACTTTCGCGAATACTCGCAAGTCGACCTTTTTTTATGGCACATCCCCGGAGAACACCCCTCTGCCATCATGGGTCCGGTTTGACCCGTCTAATCTCGAGTTCTCCGGCACGACCCCCAACACTGGGCCTCAGACATTTACATTCAATCTTGTCGCCTCGGATGTCGCTGGCTTCAGTGCAGCCACCATGAGTTTTGAGATGACCGTCAGCCCACACATTTTGTCATTCAATCAGAGCACGCAGACTCTGTTCCTCACTAGAGGAAAGCACTTCAATAGCAGTCACTTCCACGACATTCTAACCCTAGACGGCAGACAACCAGGAAACGGTGAAGTGACTTCTACTGAGGCCCAGGCTCCGAGCTGGTTAACCTTCGACAGAGATACTATCTCCTTAAGTGGCACGCCCCCCGCCAATGCCATGAACGAAAATGTCACAATCTCCGTGAGAGATACCTATGGAGATGTCACTCGAATGATTGTCACTTTGCAATATTCACAATTCTTCACAGACAACATCAAAGAGTGCAACGCAGTGATCGGTGATGACTTTGTGCTGGTCTTCAACAACTTAATCTTGAAGAATGACTCAGTCCAACTCGAAGTGACTCTTGGTCAGCAACTGCCCTGGCTGCGGTACAACCCTGATAACAAGACCCTTTATGGACATGTACCCTCGGATCTTCAACCGGGCAGCTTCCCCATCACGTTGACTGCTCGTGAGGGGACTGCAGAAGACAGCGAACAGTTTATCATCCGTGCTGTGCGCGGGGACCGACAAGGCGGTAGCGTAGCTAAATCAACAGACTCGAACAATGGCAGTGGTGGCCACGGAAAGAAAGCCGGCATCATTGCCGTCGCGGTTGTGATCCCTATTGTTTTCGTGATGGTTCTCTTGTCGCTCTTCTGCTGTTGGCGCCACAAGCGCATGGCGAAAGCTGCAACGCAAGAAGAAGGGCAATTTCCGACTGAGAAAGATCCGAGACTAACTCCTACGGATCTCCCTCCGTGCCGGCCATACGAAACGACCAAACCGGATGACCCTCCTATCATCTTCAGGAGCCCGTCGCCATCATCATCAAAGCCGCCAAAATTGGAACTGAGGCCTTTGTGGAGCGAAAAATCGCTCGAAGACAGCAGGCAAGCGCACGATTCGGATGACAAGGAAAACTCTCTTTCACATTCGACGATCGAATGGGACTTTGCGCCCTTGACACGCCATAACCCGCAGGAAGAGAAACAAGCAGAGGATATTCTCCCCCAGAATAAACGACTGTCATTCCAGAGCAGTCCTTCATTACATAGACGAACAACGGCCAATTCCACAAAACGAGAACCCCTCAAATCTATACAGCCAAGAAGATCACTTAAAAGAAATTCGGCGGCCTCATCTAGGTCCCGAAGGTATTCCAGGCGCTCGAGCGGCATTTCATCTGTAGCCTCGGGGCTACCCGTAAGGCTGAGCGGCGCAGGTCATGGAGCTGGAGGATTCGGACCTCCTGGACATGGAGTGGTTCGTGTATCATGGCAAAACACTCACGCGTCTCTGCAAAGCGATGAGAGCAGCGTTGGAAATCTTGCTCCCCTGTTCCCCCGGCCTCCCCCTCGTGGGAGAAACAGCGTGGAATTCAGGATTCTTGACCATCCAAGACAGCTCACTGTGCGGGCCGTGGAGCCAGAAAGCCCAACTATTTCAGAATCCGATTCACTGGAAGCCTTCGTTCATTACCGGGCGAAGAATAGAAACTCCTCCAATCCCATGTTCTCGGCGCAATTCGCACGCCGGACATCCTCTGGTCTCCGCGCCCTGGAGAGAGCTCGAAGTACGGCTAGTCGCGCGGACACAATGTCCAGTTCTATCTACAACGATGGTCGTCGACAGTCTTACATCCAGGACCGTCCGGGTTCGATGGCGATGTCAGCAATGTCTGCGTCCGTCTATACAGAGGACAACCGCAATTCGGCCTTCTTGCAGTCTCTAGGTCTAGAAGCCCCGAGCGTCCGACCTATCGCTCCATTACCCAAAAAGCAAAGCCAGTCGAGCCTAGCGCAGAATTATTCCAAGATCATCTCGCCGCTTCCCCGGTTCTTCAGCGAAACAAGCCTGAGTAGCAATCGACGGTTGGAGCCCGGAAACCTGGTCGATACCTCAGACGAGTCCCAGAACGTAAATGAAGATTCTTCTGGGAGTCAACGTCGATGGTACCGGGGGAATCCTTATTTCCAGGGCGATTTTAGCACCCATCGATTTTCCCTGCGGAGGAGTCCTTCAACCTCATCAGTTCCAGTCGACAGTACGGTACGCCGGGTGAGTCTGGTGCGGTTCGCTGGCATGGAGAACGGGGGCGACCAGAGCATGAATTATGACCAACGATGGAGAAATCGTCAGTCTGTCAGCATTGAGCAACCTGGCGACAGTGTACAAAGGGACGTTGTAAACAGTGTCAGGAACGACGCTAATTTTGTGTGATCATGTCCAGTCAGAAAATAGAGCATTCATCATTCACACTTCTTGTGGCTGTTTTAATCCTTTCATCGTCAAAGTTTCAGTGTTATAGCTGTGCCGGTTTGGGTTTCTTGTCATTACAGGGTGTATTATTGATTCCCAAGGGGGGCTGTTCTGTTTAGATACATAGTGGCTGGCCACGGCGTTTTGACATCCTTGAAGAATCCAGTGAATTTCTCCGTTTACTTCATTGCTAAGGTATTTCCGTCTCCTGGTTTGGTTCATCCTTAAGAGATTGGTACCTATATCATGATGTTGTCATCGATACAGCCATACTTGGTAAACTAGTATCAACCATCTGGAAACATGGAAGTCGAACCATTCTTCACTTTGAAACTTGGAAGCTATCTATCTAGTCATAATGTAGATATGTAAGTGATTGATATATTCCTTTATATTAGTTTTCATGCATATCAGGAGATGCTTGGTTTACACAGATACTCGGTAATGCACACTTCCAATGTCAACTGTTGATGGATCATCTCATGTATGTATGTACTAGCGCAGACACCTGACCTCCTTCTACTTAGAGACTGTTCTGGACATCAGGCATCAGCAAGGGTCTACTATACAGCATTAAATGTGCAACAATAATGGGACTAGGATATACTTCTTCAATAATAGTCAGGAAAGGATCAAACCTTGTACCTTAATCAATTACTTCCGGTGCCTAGGTAAGCGGATCGCTGAATTCAGAATACCGGCAGTGTCAGCTCTGTATTTCATTCCCTGGCGATCTGAACACGCCACTACTCCATAGAAGACTTGGGAAGTCATCTTTGGGAGATAGTTGCAAAAGATGATATTGTCAACTTGGAAGTCGTCTATAGGACAAGATAGCCTGGACAGAGATACCTACCTAGGATTCTGTCACATATGCAAGGATTCCTATGATTGACAATATTGAGTAATTAATAGACCCGTGCAGCTTCGGTTACTGTCTACTCCCCTCAGACAGCATGAAGGAGATAACAATGATAATGCCTCAGGTAGTTGTGCTTCAGATACCCCGGTAGGTATCTTAGTATTGAAAATGTCAATGGAAGCCTAAGGCAAAGCCAGGCCCAGGACACCTCGTGACAGCAACCAGTTCGAGATTCTTAGTCTGAAGAAGATGAAAAAATAAAGGACATTTCTTTCTCTCCCATCGCTCCTTTCTCGCTTCACTGTTCAAGAGTGTAGATGATATTCTTTCATCACTATCGTCATTTTCATCATCACCACTATCATCATCGGTGGATCACTACCGCCACTTAAGAGGTGATCCAGCTCCAGGTCTGTAGGTAGGTGCCTAGGTAAGGTAGGCAGTAAAAATACCACCGCTTACTGTACCTTACTGCCATACTGCCTGCCCTTGCCCTCAGCCCAGTTCTCCGTGCTTTGCCTCTTCCGCCTTTTTCCCCCTCCTCCTCCTTCGTCCCCTCAAATCGATCAACGCCGAGCCCTTCCCAATCCCCTTTCAATTCTCCTCCCTTCACTTTTGTGGATGCGTGACTTTTGGCCCGAGAAAAAAAAAAAACTTCTCACCATCTCTGATATTCGCAAGATTTAACAGTTGACCTGCTATACAACATGGGTCAGACCTTATCTGAACCTGTGGTCGAGAAGGTAAGCAAATCATCTGTTCTTTCGTCGTGCTTTCGATCCCCCACATTGCTGTCTTCGTTACGCAATTTCAACCGCCCCTGTTCAAAGCCCGCGGCTCGCCTATACAGCAAAATTCTGTGCGCAACACAGCGTCCGATTTTGCTACAGTTAAGGTTGATTGTACAATTTGATTGAATTATGAGAATTTGACAATTGTGCTTTTTCCGTCTGAGGTCTTCTGGTTGCCGCCTATTCGTGATGCGGACCTGTGGGGTGCTCACGCGAAAGACCGAGTTCTGCGGCGGACACACTTCCCGGACAATCGGCCACCATTGCTTATTCGAACATACCTCTCCGATCACTGCTGACATTTTTCATGCTTGTCCTTGAATAGACTTCCTCCGAGGGTCAAGATGAATGTTGTTTGTATGGTTTGTCGGCCATGCAGGGCTGGCGAATCAGCATGGAGGACGCCCATGCTGCAATCCTAGACCTCCAAGCCAAATCCACAGGAGGTTCCGAAAAGCCTACAGATCCCGATAAACGCCTCGCCTTTTTTGGTGTATATGACGGTCATGGTGGAGATAAAGTAGCGTTATTCGCGGGAGAAAACGTGCATAAGATCGTCGCAAAGCAAGAGGCCTTTGCGAAGGGCGATATCGAGCAGGCCTTGAAGGATGGCTTCCTGGCTACCGATCGGGCTATTTTGGAAGGTAGGTGGACGCCACTCTGGGGCTTCTGGAATTCTATTTCTGTTTCCCTTGTCATTTTTGGCTTGGGGTTCTCAACGAAACTGACCTGTCTAGACCCGAAATATGAGGAGGAAGTCTCCGGTTGCACAGCTGCCGTCAGTGTTATTTCAAAGAACAAGATCTGGGTCGTATGTGCCTTCAACCTATACAATACCGCTATCACATCGTAATCAGGAGAATGACTAATCGGAATGGTAGGCAAACGCGGGCGATTCACGCTCGGTATTGGGTGTAAAGGGCCGCGCAAAGCCTCTCTCTTTCGACCACAAGCCACAGAATGAAGGTCCGTGTCTTGCCATCCAACCCTCCGAACTTTCGCATCTAATATACGAATACAGGCGAGAAAGCTCGTATCAGTGCCGCCGGTGGCTTCGTCGACTTTGGTCGAGTCAATGGTAATCTGGCCCTATCCCGGGCCATTGGTGATTTCGAGTTCAAGAAGAGCCCCGAGCTCTCACCTGAGCAGCAGATTGTCACAGCCTATCCCGATGTGACAGTTCACGAAGTGACTGATGATGATGAATTCCTCGTTATCGCCTGTGATGGTACGTCTTTCTATACGGGCTTATCTGCAAATTGCACTGTCTTGTTTCCCTTTGCTGATTGATTTGCTTGTAGGTATTTGGGACTGTCAGTCCTCCCAATCCGTGGTCGAGTTCGTTCGGAGAGGCATCGCTGCAAAACAGGAACTTTACCGTATCTGTGAGAATATGATGGACAACTGCCTTGCTTCTAACAGTGAGACCGGAGGTGTTGGATGTGACAACATGACCATGATCATCATTGGCCTTCTTAATGGCAAGACCAAGGAAGAATGGTACAATCAGATTTCTGAGCGGGTAGCTAACGGCGACGGTCCATGCGCGCCGCCTGAATACGGCAAGTGTCTCGAGGATCCAATGGTCGCCGAGGGTTACTGACTGAGAAATGGCTGTTACAGCTGAATTCCGTGGGCCTGGTATCCGCAATCAATTCGAAGAAACCCCCGATAATTATGATCTTGAAAACGACCGCTCCCGCGGCTTCAGTGTCCGTTCCGGCCGTATCATTCTCCTAGGTGACGGCACTGAACTAATTCCCGAACAGAATGACGAGGAACTTTTTGACCAGAGGGCGGAAAATCGAGATGTCACAAATCATTTGCAACACGAGTCGCCCGATTCGTCGGCTCGAGGAGATCGTGAAGGTACCCCAGGACCCCAGTCGAAGAACGAGACTGCGAGTAAGGCTGAGGGGTCCTCGACTGCCGCCAACCTGTCCGAATCACCCTCAAGCACAAACAAAAACTCTTCTGGCAGCGGGACTGAAGCCACGGAGAAATCTGCCTCCTCGTAGCGACGACGATTCATTTGCGTGTTCCTCCTCCCTGATCTGGTTTTGCGAATACATCCTGCGCGTGACTGAACGGCCCGCCCTTATCCTCCACTCTCAACCCTTTCCGTTTCCTCGACCCTTGCAATGTCTTTCGATATGACGTTCAAAGTCTCTGTCTTCCGTCCCTAGCGACGCCCTGTGACTGTGGATAAGGCGAAATTCAGTGGGATGCTCCTCTAGCCCTGGCTAGGTAGACCTTTTTATGTCGTGTCGGAGGGAACTTTGGGGCTTTCCTGAGTGATAGGACGTTTCCTCTTCTATTCTGCTATGTTCTGTTTTTCCGAGCCGCAAGCGGCAGACCTCACGAGAGTACGTTTATTTTATGCTTTGATCCAACGCAAGATACCGCACAAAACACCCACCGATGATGAATCTTGATATCTCTATGAATTCGGTTCTTACCTTACCCAACCCATTGCTCTTACGTCGCGCTTTATCTTTATTCTTTTCCCTCTACCATTCTCTTCCCCTCATACTGTGATCACCCGCCGGTGTATCTGCTCATCATCGCGCTCTCCGGCTCTGGACTTGGAAGGTTGCCCTGTGGGCCAGGAAAGTGCTCGATTAAGAATTTGCACAAGTCATCGGCGTTGTAAATCGACTGGTGGATGAAGGGAAACGGGACAATACGGGTCGGTCTTCATATCTCTCGGCGTATCTGGAATGTCCATCTACAGTATCAAGATCATTCTCGTCTGCGATGGGGCGGCACTACCTTCCAATGCTTCAGCAGTGGGCTTCAGGGAAATATGACACATTCCAGTAGGCTAAATTTCTTTTTTGGATCTCTTCCGATATCGTACACAGGAGCGGCCCACTAGAAGTAATATGCGAAGAGGTTGCGATCACCGATAGACTGGCAGAACCAAATAGAATCTACTAGTAGTTCGAGGCAGAGAAGACTATGAGTTGTCAGATTCATGAATTGTAAAATTACACCCCCTCATGGCGACAGAATCCACCTAGGTAGGTACCTTAGCGGTGCATTATTGAAATTGTTGTATGAATTGCATTAATAAGAGAATGCCCATAGGTTTGCGTGACATTTTCGTACAATACTTATCTAAATCCTTTCGATAGCGCTTTGGTACCCAGTCCATACCCACAGAAGTACCTATTCAGTATCAACGGGGTATCTGACTTTACCTTACTGTACCTTACTCCGTTAGGTAAGTGGAGTCTGATGTAATGGCTGTGCTCGGTATGTTGATAGACCAGTCTATACCCTAGGTAACGTAACGCTGTTTATCACGAGGTGCAAAAAAAGTCTTGTCCATTGCATATGACAATTCTCTCTCAGATGTTTCTCTTGCTCTCTGCAGAATCACCTATTCTACCCGCGAGGATCGAAAAAAAGGATCTGAGACTCGGCCCCGTTAGTACTGGGCTAGGTAGCTTCCTTCCGGGACTGACTCCCGCTAGCCTGATCAACCGGTTAGTCTAGTCTACTCCGTACTGCTCGTTCTTCCGCCTTCTGTCTGTCTCAGGGTCTTCTCCCTCTCTCCTTTTAATTATTATTAGACTAACTGACAAGCCTACCTTAGCTCTCAGCGCTTTACCTGTCCCCATTTCCTCTCCCCAATTTTTTTCTTCAACCTCCCTTCTGTCCGTTGGTTGTCCAAGCTTGAAATCTCTCATGGTTTTTCTCAACTAGATACCATATATCTTTCAACATCCCGACAGAAGTAGAGCAGTGCTCCTCGGTCAGCCAGCATGTCGTCTCCGTCCACTGCGGCCAAACGCAAGCGCAGTGCTTCTCAACATTTAACGGCCGACATTGCCAAATCATCCACAGCCGATCTCCTCCAACCATCGTCTCGCGATGCGTCCGGTGAGGAAGGAGACGACTCCGCCGATCCGATCACCCCGACGGCAAGCAAAAACAGGAAACATACTTCAATTGATGTGACCTCGACCGGGGGTCCCAATCCGCCTTCGAAACGGGTTCGGAAATCGTCTTCTGGCGAGGCTCAGGCCGCCGCGTCCAACGGAACCACAGAATACTCCTCAGCCATCCATCAGGAAGATCCCGGCGAGCCATCTGAGACCACTGTAGCTAGTAGTGACATTGAGCATGGGGCGACCGGTCGACCGGGGTTGCACATCAAGACCGCCGGCGCCAATGCAGAAACGAGAGAGCGTCTGATGAAACCGCCCGAGAGAGCTGGGCTGCAGCATCCCGTTGGGTACCACACCAATCCACCTCCGACGGGGCGACCGGTTCGTGTCTATGCGGATGGTGTTTTCGATTTGTTTCACGTGGGGTATGTCTACAATTTTCTTAGATTACAGCTATTGTCTGCAGTAATAGACTTGATACTCATTGCTGGTGGTTTTTTGACAGACACATGCGACAGCTGGAACAAGCAAAAAAGGCTTTTCCTGACGTGTATCTCATTGTCGGCGTGACCGGAGACGAAGAGACTCACAAGCGCAAGGGACTTACCGTGCTCAGCGGTCGGGAGCGTGCAGAGAGCGTCCGCCATTGCAAATGGGTGGACGAGGTGATCCCTGACTGTCCCTGGATCGTGACTCCGGAGTTCATTGAGGAGCATCAGATCGATTACGTTGCTCACGATGACCTGCCTTATGGGGCTGCGGAAGGAGACGACATTTATGCACCGATCAAGGCTCAGGGAAAGTTCCTGGTTACGCAGAGAACTGAGGGTGTCAGCACAACGGGCATTATCACCAGGTTTGTGTTTCCTCCTCGTTTGGCAGACGTGGTTGCTGACCATTTCGTTCCATCCAGAATTGTCCGCGACTACGACCAGTACATTGCCCGTCAATTCAAGCGAGGTGCCTCGAGACAGGAGTTGAACGTGTCATGGATCAAGAAGAATGAATTGGAGATCAAGCGACATGTCATTGAGCTTCGAGACAACATTCGCAACAATTGGACCGCCACTGGCCAGGAACTGGGCCGTGAATTGCGGCAGTTATGGCAAAACAGCCGGCCTGGCAGTCCTGCCCCGAGCGCCCGGAACAGCATGGACCTGGGCAGTGTGCGTGGTGGTAATGGTGGGCTGACCAGTCCTACTGGTGGCCAGAAATCACATGTGTCACGACTAGAAGCATTGGGTCGTCCTGACAGTCCAGTCGGAACAAACGGGAGAAACGAAGATTTTGCGACGGGCTACAGTTTGGGCTTGATCGGCGGTGTGCGAGCATGGGTTTGTGATTACCTTTCCTGCCACGATTATAGAATCGAGTGTTGACCTATTTTTTTGCAGATGATGCGCAGCCGACGATCGCTCATGGAGAGCCGGCCTCACTCGCCCACGAGCGAGGACGATCCTGAGCCCGAGTTAGAAGCGACCAACGGCCATACTGATTCCGATAGATCTTTGCACGCATCGTCGTAACCTGTTGTGATCAAAAGAATTTCTTTCCTTGGACATGATTCTTGTCTTCGTGTCCCTGGCTACGGCACCGTGTCTTGGCCTGAGTATAATGTAATATTGACATTCGGCTCATAGACAGGGACGAAAACGAATGACAAAAAAACAGTCAAAAAAGAAATAAAAAGATCAAAATCGATTTCTTTCCTTCTTTTATACCTCCTCCACTTCTAAATGCCTGTGACTGGAAGAAAAGGCAGAAGAAAAATGAAACAGAAACCTCAGACCCCTCACTATACCCGAATGATCATCTCTTCTTGTCCTTTCTGATTGATATTGGATCCGTCGCGATAATACCTTGTTTTGACACAGACAACGATTGATTGCCTGGTTTTGGCTCTGAAACGGACTTGGACGCATTTGCTTGGATGGAATAAATCGATACACGTGGAATTGACTGGGTTAAGGTTGGGTATGCTGGAACATTTGGGGATTTTGGGGATTGATTCATTCGTTTGTGCATTTTGTTTTATTGTATAGGTTTCTACTTTCTAGTATCTATAATACCTAGATTCTGTAGATAGGTAAAAACTGATTGCTTGTCTGCAATGTGCCACGTGCAATACAACGCATCTATCGGGAACAGAATATAAGCACTTTTCTATCGCTAAAACGCCCAACACAGAAACCAAGGTCAAAATAATCAAAGCATCGCCGGGGAGATATATCATGAGGGTATCATAAAAAGTCTGTATAGGGGCAGGTAGGTGATTGGAGTCCATCCAGGGTATCCAATTCTTCTATAGATCTTTGTGGAATGCACGCGGAGCGCAATCTACTTCGCAGTAATTGCCAGACGAGGCCTGCTTCGATGCCATCGGTCAATCTGCGCCTGCTCATCACTATCCTCCACGGAACAAGGCTTCCAGAGCTCAACCCCCGGAACCAGGACAGCTTCGCCGGGCGCCGAGCACATAACCGCACGGAGATAGTCTCTCAGCGTTACCGCGTCCCGACTCAGCTTCTCCTCCAGGAGCCTCTGTGCGACAGGGTCAGCGTCACATCGCGCGGTGATGCCCAGCTCGAACACGCGCAGGCCGCGCACAGACAGCAGCGGCGCGACCCATGGCTCCCTTACATCCAGCCGCAGGCGTTGCCCACCGAGTAGCCCGCCGGCGGTGGTGTTGGTGGCCCTGGTGAAGCGGCCGAGGTCAATGCTGAGATGGAGCTCCTCAAGGCCGCGGCAGGCGGCGACGCGGGACCAGAACAGGGCCCAGAGGTGGTCGTTGTGGGTGTGCGTGTAGATGGAGGCCTTGTGCTCCTGGCCGGCCATGGGCTGCCAGACGGGCGTCCACTGGACGGTGAGGCGGCGGATGGCGCGCAAGCGGTGCGGGTCGATGGTCTGGGAGAAGGCGACGAAGGTGTGCAGGTCGTCGACGTCGAAGACCGGGGTGGCGTAGGGAAGGTCGGCGGCCTCGGCGTAGATGGCGCGGCAAGTGCGCAGGAGGGCGAGGGAGCCGTTGCTCAGCGTGTTGGGGAGGGCCGGGTGCGTATGCGGGTAGAGCATGCTGTAGGAGTGGCCGTCGTTGGTCGCTGCTCCCGCTCGCCAGCGAGCCGGGGTGACTGGGCAGCAGAGTCGGTGGCTGTCGAGGGAGGAGCAGGTGTGCTTGCAGCGCACATGGCGGATCTTGTCCTTGAGCTGGACCAAGTGGACGGCCTCGTCACCAAGGATGCAGTGGTAGATGATCAAGCGGATTTCTGCGGGCAGTTTGCCGAAGAGCCGGCGAGGAGGACTGCGGGTTGACGGGACGATCGTGAGGGTCCACTGGTCTGGATGGGCCCGAAGATGGTAAGTCGACAGGAGGAGCACAGATCTTGCGTTCCTGGATGAGTTCACGGACTATCTCCTGCCATCGTCGTCCGGTCGAATAGTAGTGCCAGATAGAGTAGGGATCACGCAGCAGCCAGGCATCGAAGTGTCGCATCTTTTCTCTGGGTCTATGATCTATAATCTATAGGACTGAGAAAATGGTGTCTCTTTCTACCAGAGAAAGACGAGACGTCCACAGCGTGAACCTAAGTAGGATGGTGATATATAGTTGAAGGTGTGAATTGAGCGATGCATTGACCAGAATGAAAGTGGATCGGTCGATCTGAATATATACTCGGGCCATACCCGTCCGTTTGCAAGAATCAGAATGTAAAATGCCCACCAGAGGTGTCTATACAGAGATACCCCTCTGACGTGGGATTATCCCCATGAAAACATGAAGCGATCTTCTTCATGAGGCATCAGATTCATCGGATCCTCAATATCTGATTGGTCTTCAGCAGTTTCTGCTGGAAAAGCTTTGTAGGTCCTTGCAGCTGATTGGCCAAGGCCCTGGCACTCCCGGGCGCCGGGAGTTTCCGCCTTCCGAATCGGGACTTTTCGGTGGTGACTGCTACCCTATGACGTTTTGAGATTAGTATATATCTGGACCAATGGTATTTTTACAGATGGGGTTTTTGCTCGCTTGGTGGACAATGGGCTTTTGTATAACCTTATGTACGCTTGAGTAGATGGAGTTTAATTGCAACCTGAGGTGTCAACTCTCTCGGACTCCCATGCAGTTTCTTACCATTGATATGGAAGTAGAGAGGTAATTCTACTAAGAAACATAGGTAAAATTGAAGTGAAGAGGTAAGTTACCTCGCACTGTTGGACAGCCCAACTTGCTCATGATGGAATGATATAAAGTGCATTAATTTCGGGACAGAAACATGTAAGTCCAGCACTGCATATACGATCATCCTGAGCGGAGTATTTATCCGTCTACTCTTGTACTTTGCTTTTGACTGCTTATCAACTCATCAGCTAGCGTTTGCTTTCTATGTACGGGGTTCTATTATGGTATGTTGATTGTATTGACACTTTTACCGCTTCCATAATTTTCACCATCTTTGACCTTCAATCCACTCCTCCATCCGCATCCCTGCTCACAGATCGTCGGCCTACCTTCCTCCTTCGATCTCTCATGCACCAGCATTGACCAATAAGTCGAGCGAATACCTCTCTATTCTTTCCAGGTTTATGCATTGACCTCACAAGCGTATCCCCTCTGCCTCTTTTCCCACCCTCCCCATCAATTTTAGTGACTTCAAGCCACCGGTCCCCCCCCTTCTTCTGCGGCCTCGTCAACTGGAACTGCTGCAGCAGCATTCTTCTTGCCGTCACGCACCAACGCCACGTACAGTGCACTTCCCACAATCAACGCCGAGCCTGCCCAGCTCAGAGGCGAGAGCGTGTTACCCCAGACCACCTTATCATAAAACAGTGCAAATAACATCTGCGTGTAGATCATGGAGGTGGCACGTGACCCAGAGGAGGATCTCGCCGGCTTAGACTCACTGCCATCTCCTCCGGAGACCCTCCGAGATCTTCTCGGAGGTGGCGGCACGTATGACAATCCAGCGGTCAGCAAAAACTGCAGCAAGAATCCACAAACCCCAAGTCCCACAATCAAGGCCCATTCCAACCCAGTTTCAGGCAGCTTGAACGGCACGGAAGGTACCAGCAACATAGCCAGGAACGACATAACGGTAGTGAACATTGAGAAATACGTGACCGAGACCAAGGGATGGCACCGCTGGCCGATGATCCGGATCGACGTGTACGCACATGTTGACCCGAGGACTCCCACCATCATCGCCAAAATTGCCACGATACGCTGAAATTCGTCCGTGGTGCCGGGCTTGTGCGCCTCCGGCTCTCCCGGGTCGGGAGGCGTCGCTGACGACGAGAAGGGGCGCGCGATCAGCACTACGCCTCCCATGGAGACCACAGCGGCCAGTTGCTGCCTGCGAGTGAATGTCTCGTTGGGAATAAAGAGTGAACAAGCGTAGCAGCAGAGGATGGGTGCCAAAAAGGTCAGGACAGTGGCCTCGGAAAGAGGTAGATACTGGACCGCGTAGTAGATGCTGTAGACCCCGAAGAAACCGCCCATGGCCCGGAAGATCAGCAGGCCCAGCACAGGACGAGTCCCAAAAGGATGTGGAACCTTGGTATACCACATGTAGAGGTAGCTTGCCACGACGGTGACCGACATGCGGGCAAAGAGGATCTATGCTGGTCAGCGATGCGTTGCATAGCGCCCCGCGGGCGTTCCTGGGATAAAACCAACCTGGAAAGGATGTAACCCGCTGTCAAGCTCAAGGATCTGGGTCATGACATTCATCGAAGCACCAAAGAACTGCGCCAAGGTCACCAGAATCATGCCCTTACCCTGGAGCCAGATCTCTTTTCCTTCCTCGTATACAGCTCGTAGCCATGACTGCGAGCCCTCCTTGCCGTTGCCTTCAAGATCTGTCGAGGACGATGAGCCCAGTAATGGTCTGCGTATATCATCTTCGTAACCATTCAGACAGTTCTCCGATAACGGAGGCGCAGCGATCTCCTCGGAATTTTGGAGAGTATTGTACTGGCGTTGCGAGGACCCCATCGTTCAACCTGTAAGAAAAACTGATAACCAAAGCCAAAGAAGAAATAGAATATTTATATCATAAACAGGCATTAAATATCGTCAATCATAAATATCATGAAATAGCCCATTCACGCCATGACTCGGAAGAGCTGATCAAGCGACTATATGTATTTGCTTCAGTCAGCTGAGAGGACAAGAATTGCTCCAAACATCGATATGGTTTTGCTTATTTTTTTCTTCGCAGCTACTCCAAAAAGGAGACTAGTCTCTCTCATCTGCTTCTTAGTAGCCCTCTTCATTGGACTAAGCAAGAAGTATCACTGTACTAGTGTTGTCTGTGGGGGCTGTGGACGGATGATCGGCTGGCAGGGTTTATGGGATCAAGGACTTGGCATCCTCTGCACTTTGTTCGAGGGCAAATGGGTAGAAAGAACTACTGGAATCTACCTGCTAATCTGCTAGTACAGTATCATTGGCCTTGTAGTTGCTTGGTGGCACACAAAGTATAAGTGCTGTCTGAATATCTCGCTCAAACCAAAGATATATACGATGAATGACCCC